TTCAAAATTAGCTTTTGTTAACAGAAAGAAAAAACTTTATATCACACGATAAAAACATGGGGCATGTACAGATAATAGTGTTAGTTTATAAATACTAATGGGTTCATATTCATGTCCCTCGTCTGCGGTGAAATGGGACGAGTTCAGCATGTGCAAGACAGGGCTTTACGAATTTAAAGAAAGAAAGTATTCCATCAGTTGCAGAAGAGAGTATTTACTGATTGTCCATAATGTCAATAAGTACCGCTAATTTCTTTACCGTCAAAAATGATATATCGGTTCGTTTTCCTACCTATCCTATAAAAAATACGAAGCAACAAGGCTTATCACATGGACTGCTACGTTTAGCAGTGTGAGGTCGTCCATTCGACACCCTTAGCGTACAGGATTATCGGTTCGAATCCCCGTAATCTGTGAACACTTCAGGTGTTACCTAAACGATCCAATCAGCTCGTTCCAACGGACGCCCCACAATTATCCGACAAATTGTTTGGATTTAATACAAAGAGGAATGGTGAAGATTTCTTTATTAAGGTATTAATAAAAATTTGTTAGGTCACCTTTTTTCTTTTAGTTATTTGAAGCAGCACTAGTTGACAAGACAGATGGATGTGTGGGTGGATGAATGAATGAATGTATAAAAGCAGTTTGCAGTTTTAGTCAGAAGTATAGACAAAAAGAGATAATGGATATGGACAATTTAATTACGATGGATGAATAGACCGACAATTAATATTAATATCAATTCGACGCTTTATGTAAATAGTTGTTTTTGTTTTTTCTTATAATTAATTTTAATCTTTAGTTGTATATAGGTATTTAATTTAGTAATATTTAGTTTTAATTTTTTAGTTTTAATTTAGTTTTAATTTTTTTTTTAAGTAATAGTTAGTTTTTAATTTAAGTTTTTTATTTGAATAAATGAATTTCCTAAATAGCTATTAATATTGTAGTATATCAGGGCCTTTAGCCAAACGCCACTTTAGCGCTTGTCTACAGAGAGAGTAGAAATCAAAATGTATGGGGCTGACACTGACAAGTGTCAAAATTTACGTCAATCCCATATAATTTGGTTTTCTATTCTACATGTAGACAAGCGCTAAATGGCATTTGGCTACAGCTGCTGGAGTATTGAGAGTATCAGGAGAACATAAGCACGGAGGAACTAAAATCATCACCTTAATAAAACATTAACTATACTTACAACAACATAGATAGTAACACCACCTCTATTACACGCAGTCTTAAACAAAACAGCCAACACAAACACAGCTCTTATTACATTAATAATAGAGTTCTTAATATAAACCCAGCAAGGGTCTGTTCATACAGAAAATAAACAGGGTTAATTTATCATGCTAGCTCAGACCTCATTAGCGGTTGAAATCCATTAGCTTGAAGGTTCCTCACGATATTTTCCTTAACCGTAGCTTATGTATCTAAGATTAATTATACAAGTATGTTAGTATAAAGATCTTGGGCTTACATAGATGGAACTTAGTCCTCTGTAGGACCTTTTTGACTATATCCTTGCTTAACAAACTGTCTGCCAATTTTCTTTTATGGGTTTTTGACTTTATTTATCATCATTGTCGTTACCGTCCGTATTATATCTACCTACTCCTAAAAAGCTCCATTCGTAAGAGATTATTGAAATTCTACGTTTGGTAGATGGTTGAAGGACCACTGTTAGATATATCAATGAAAAAAAATTGTTTTACGGCATAAGCCGGCAAACAATCGGTGGTAAGCAATCGGCGACGCCCATGGACACCTGGAACACCAGAAGCGTTACAAGTGCGTTGCCGGCTTTTTGGGAGTTTGAGGATCGATTGGGGAAGGGGAGGGGGTAATTGTGCCTGCGGTACCCTCACTCACACGACGAAACACACGGAAGCGTCGCTTCACGTAGGTTTTCTGGGAGGCTGTGATATCACTCCGGTTGAACCGGCCCATTCGTGCCGAAGCATAGCTTTTTTGAAACATAATAATTTCTAAAGTATTTTCACAACCTGATTCAGATTTAGCCATCAAAATGTACCTTTATGAGGGCTTTTATATCACCGTCTTCAAGTATACAGGTACTCAATTACCTCCCCATAACCATATGACCTCTAAATGTAACGCCAAAAATGTAGCCGGTCTCTATAGGTCGTAACTGACTCCAGGGGTCTTAATAGCCACTCTGGGCGATAATGGCCCGTTATCTTTAACAAGTGCGTACTCCAGTGACAACGTATTACATCCCTCCGGTTTATCTTTTGGTCCTTTCGGCTGAGACGCAAATGTGAAAGATATTCGTATCTTTTGGAGCCGATCTAATGAAAAATTGGTGGTAAAAAAATACTTTTTCTGAGTGGGGACAGAAACTATAGCTGTTTATTTGGATTGGATTGTTTAAAGTAATTTCTAAAAAAATACTAGGAGTTCAAAATGTATAAGAAGTTCTACGATATTTTGTAAACTAAAGGAATTCTACAAGTTTTTATTTTTAATACAAAGAGAGTACAGTGAGAGAGAGATCTTTAGAACAATGTTTTTTGGATTCTATTGAAGCTTTAAACAATACAAAGAGAATGAATTAAATTACAATTTCAACACGATACGTGGCCTCATTTCTCTTAAAGCTTCAAACAGAGCCATTTATCAACTTCATAACAAAAACGCTAACTAAATTGAACTTTATTATCTACTTTTCGACGATTTTCCATCGGAGCAACGAACTCAGCACCTGTGGCTTGGCAACTATATAACTGGAGAGATTTAATTACTTAGCTACCACGCGCAAAACTCCAGGGAAATGAATTAATAACATACTCGTAACTCTATCTATGTGCTGCTATCCTGGTACTTGTGTTAAATTGTAGAATTATAAATTATTCAAGCATCAACGTATGAATAATTGAATTACTACAAAGTTATGTTATGTTGAGATACTGTGTGTAATTTGTAATGAATATGCTCGTGTGTTGGCCCGGAGGTTGAGACGCCCACTTTTCATGCACGAGAGTGCGGGTTCGAAATGTACAAACGGCAAGTACTAATGTGACTTTTTCCGAGTTATATGTAGGTACTTTCTAAGATTATTTTGACACCACTAAAAAATCGCGAAGTAAAACATCGTGAGGAATCCTGGCCTTATAAATTCTATTTTTTTTTTTATCTATATTTTATTGAAATTGTAACAATATATATAACTACATAAATATTTACAACTTAAAATTAATTACAACTAAACCATTAAATAAAGCGAAAGTAAAAAAAGTAAACAAAAATTAAACCCTTATTTCGGCGTCAAAATATTCGTCCGCATCACTATCACAGGGGAATGTTCCCAAAAGAGTGGCAGCATTGTCACGTTGAATGGTAATGCTTATTTTCTGTCCCATAAAATAATTATTATTTCTAATCCTAAGTTTGAAATCGCCAACCCGCAATGAGCAAGCGTGGTGATTAATGTTCAAACCTTCTTCGTGTGAGAAGAGGCTTTGCTACGCAGTGGGCACTTATAGGCTGTTGATGATGGTGATGAAGTTCGTGTGTAGAGTTTTAGATACCTACGTATTATTTTACCGTTTGTTTTGACTACATCGAAAAGACTTACAATATCTACTCCAACCTTTTTAAATCTGGTTGAATCTGTAATTATGTTAATTTAGAAATAATAACAAAGTATTTAAAGTTTTATACAGCGTTGTCATAAATAATAAATCTCTCAGTACTTTAAGAGATCACTGAAACAAGCACACTGAATAATGACAGAGAGAAAAAGGTCTTTAAAAAATGCTTGTATTCTATTTTCCTATTTCACTTGTATTTTCTATTTATTGTCTTCCAATATACCTCTAGTATAAGAGTACACAGTATTCTGTTGTTTTATTGTTATGTATTTATGTAAAGAACGGAGAATAATCAATCTCCTTAACAACATTTTCCTTTTACTACCAGGACACCATAAAAGATTCGAACCATATAATCAGTATTTCCTTTCACCGAAACTCGCCACTTCCATAAGAAAATAAACGGATAGCGACTTCCCTTCGAACGATAAACATTTACCAAAGACTTAAGCAAATTGACGTAGTGAAGCAATACGTACAAAAAAGTTGTTTCGCCGATTTCTGTGTGGCATCGTAAAGGAAACACTATAGCTCGTTCCCAGAGCAATTTCCCCCGAACTGCCGTTCTAGTATCGTTGTTGACACAAACATTGGCTGTGAGATGAAAACATCCTGCGAGTTCTGACGCCCTAGTAGGTACACCTATGCATAGTTTAGTAGGTAGAGGGATTGTTTTCCTTTCTTTTGATTCTTTTGTTTCATTGATACAACTTTTGACACTAAACGTCACAACCGTTGTTTGTTTTCAAAGCGTGTTTTGACTATAATAACAAGTATAACTATACTTTTTTTTTGAGGGGGGAAAATTATCGAATGACTGCACCCGCCTTAGTGTCAGACTCTTACCGTTAGGTTCTCCGCGACTAGTATAACTATATTATTAGTTGATTTTCTTTAATAACCTAACTCATTTATTTTGTACGCGCGACTAAAAACTATGAACTTAAATTATGTGTATTTTTTACAACAAAATACTTTTTCTCACTTGTGTACTGGCAAACGATCCAAAGTGTATTAAATTAAGCCAAAGCAACATACTTTCATTTTGTCTGAGTCCTGTAATACGCATTGGTCTCTAATTGTTTTACCTTACACAATTTCAAGACAGCAAAATGAAAATTATTACAATAAATTCTTACACAATAATCCCCATACTTTTATCATCCATTCTATAAACACCCACAACCATACAAACAGCAAAGACATATAAAACACACACAAAAAACATAAACAAAATGCACACGTGACCATAAAAAATGTATGAACTTCCGTAGTTTAAAAAAAAAAACAATTTCACCGCCTTTTCTATCGGTTAGGAGTTCTGCGCATTAGGCGAACAATACATAATGTCAACATTCGTCTAGTAGTGACACAGTAGCTATGAGTCTGTGGGTGGTGTTGCTGGTCCTCTGTGCTTGTGGTGTCAATGGAAAAATTGATGAAGAACAAGAAGACCAAGGATCTTCAGGTAATCTGTAGTAATTATTCAACTTGAGTGTAAAATACAGTGAAAACATCCTCCATCATCTGCCTTCCCTAAGTTCCTATGGCAGGTACCAGGACAACATAATTGTGATGAAGTTCTATGATTAAAATTTTGCGAATAAACATTTGAAAATAATAATTTAGTTCTCTACTCTGCTCATGTTTTCGCATTCGAAAATATCTTCTTTGTTATTCAGTATTGTAAAGTTTGACTTAGGTTTTCAAATGTTTGGGCCGACAAACTCTGATTAGAAAAACAATGTAACAACAAATGCTTTGTTGTAAAATTTTTAGTCAAAACTAACGTTAAATGTTTTGAAACTAGGATTGTAATATGGAATAAAGTTGAGTGAAATAAAACAAAGTTAAGTCAACACAAATTACAATAAAATCTAAAGCCTTCATATAAACTCACATTGCACTAAAAAACTTTTTAAAAGCAATTGTAACTCCTTTGACGTTGCCTACCTATGACGGGTACCTATGGGCGGCGCTGATCGCTTAACATTAGGTGATCCGTCTTTTAGTTTTCTATCCTATTCCATAAAAAATATTCTATTATATGACGGTTTCATCATTGTTCTACATACGTCATAGACATGGTGGAAAAGAAATTCAGAAACTACTTTTTTTTTCTTACCAAAAATGTTTTTTTTTTTATTCTAACAAACTATTTAGGGGCTTATAACACAGATAAGTCAGCCCCATCGTACCCTTTACATTACTTTACGTACTTAACATTGACTCACTTGATTAATTGTTATTCGTGGAGGACCAAAATCAAATGGCACAACCTTTTCATAATCGCTGAAGATGGTACAGATAAAATGGATTGTATAATGCCTACATCAAATTTATTTATTTTAAAATCCTTCACGAATATCTCACGTTCTTCTCCATTCCGAGCACACTCCATCAGCAAATGTTGGACATCTTCAATTTGACCACAAAGACCAAAAATGTTCTTAAAACTTATTTAAACGCAGCCATGTATTATACATGGGCTGTTTACATTCTCCATGTCGTATAGAGTTTGCAATAACAAGTCGGAATAAGTCTAAACAGTGCGTATAAACGTCACCTCATATCGATCCGTTTTCTTACCAACTCCTGTGAAAGAACTTGTTAATGGCAGTTTTCGAATGTTGTATGGTTTGCCGTTGTTTGAGCTTCGAAGTTTCGATTTTAAGGGTCTCGAATTGTCTTTTGGGTTATGATCAATGACATTCTCATTTAATTGTAGGTATTACAAAGCATAAAGAGATAGTGGCCAAGCACTGAACCATTAGCCATTAGGTACATATTAACCCTTTGAGTACCGTCATTATAGACACAATTAAAAAACAATAGGTTGCGGTCACCGGTGGCTTCGCGGTGTTTGACAGTTTAAATAATAGATTGCTGCAATATATCAGATAACTTGTTGTAGAATTACTTAACCCTTAAATTAGGATGTATAATAATATACTGTATCTGCATAATTATAGGAGGAATTTAATCAACACAAATGGGCCGTTTCGACGTGAGTGATACCACGGCCTCACAGAAAACCGACGTGAAACAACGCTTGTGTTGTATTTGTTCGTGCGAGTGATGTTAACAAAGGCCCAATTATCCACCCTCCCCTATCTACCCAATTCCTGAATCCCCAATAATCCTCAAATTCCTAATCCCTAAAAGACCGGTAACGCACTTGTAACGCTTCTGGTGTTCCGCGTGTCTATGGGTAACGTCAATTGCTTACCATCAGGTGATCCGTCTGCTCGTTTATCGGCTTATTCCATAAAAAAAGTATTATATCGAAAACAAAGACACACGTTTTATTCCTCGCAATCTTAGACGTAACAACCAGTTTTAGCCACGTTTCATGTAATAAATAATATATATGTTAAACACTTTTACTTTACTTAGGACGATTTGGTAATCCACAATACATTAAATCAATCTTCATGATCTTAAAAACGTCATACTTACTTCTAAACAGATAGACACTTAGATAGATATTCCTTCTTCAAAGCAAAGATGGTCTTTAGACAATCTTTTAGATAAACTTTGCAAAGACTGACAAGTAAAGGAACGAATGGTTTGTTTGGAACATTTTAAAACAACTCCTTTGATTGATGAATAGAAGAGAAAAAAGATGGCCGCCGCTAACGGTCGAATTTTAAATTAATTCGTTTTTTACAGATGTTTGTCGATAGGTTTAATAAAACATCTTTTTGTTTGGTTGTAAGAGTTATGATAAAAAACAAGATATTGTGTATTGATTATGTGTTATATTATTCATATGTTATTCAATAATTTAAGTGTGGGAGAGCCATGCTTCGGCACTGATGGGAGTAATACCAAGACCTCACAGAAAACTAACGTGAAACAACGCTTGCGTTATGTTTCGTCGTGTGAGTGAGGTTACCGGAGGCCCAATTAACCAACCCTCTCCCCAATCTCCCCAATCCCTGAATTCCCAAACAATCATCAAACTCCTAATCCCCAAAAGGCCGGTAACTAACTTGTAACGCCTCTGGTGTTCCAGGTGTCCATGGGCGACGCCGATTATTTACCATCAGGTGATCTTTACTTTCGTTTACCAGCTTATTCAGTAAAAAATCTTAATGAAATGTCAGTCTAAGTCAGACTAGACTGATCGGATCGAAAGACCAATTTTCTCATTTTTCAAAAAAGTCTTTGCAACACATTTATTTCTGGCAAAACTGTGCTCGGTTGCGTAATTGGAATAGGTACAATATAGTCGAAATGCAAGCTGCTTAAATGAAGCCAGTATTATGCATTCAGTAGGTACATATTCATGCTGCTTCATAAACCGCCACAAGAACGGCCCAGCTCGATCTCTGAACTCCTTTTACTCTTTCTAGCAAAGCTGTTTCTTATTAGCGTCATAATTTTGTTGAAAAAATCCTAGCGCGGGCAACGTTTAAAAATGTGTATCCATGAATGAATGGCTGAAGTCGAGGTTTTCCCTATAAAAGTCGTACTTTTCTAGGGAAAAAAGATGTTTTTACCTACCATGGAAAAGGGTGCATGTAATAAGTTGCCATACTCCAGCATAATTTAAGACTATGCGCTATTTCTAAAAATTTTCGAATGACTCGATAGTCCTTCAACCAGGTAACTGAACGTAAGATGCAAAATAGACCCTATAATTATTTGTTGAACTAAGGAATAGAAACCTTTGGAAATGCTGACGAATCTAAAATTTTAGTAGGTAAGTGAACAAACACAGCGGCCAACACTCGTTTGATACAATTCGCAAAATGGACGTTTTACTCGAAACGGCGCGGCGGTCAAACTTCGCCATCAAAACTTTATTTGGAAACGAAAAAATTCGGACAATTTTCCCACTTACTCGTACAGTTCGCCCACTTATTCGCGTCGGTTTCACCCACTTTTTGGGAGAATCCGAAATGTTTATCAAACAATGTCGTGTAGACATGTAGACTGCTCATCAAGTTATGCATAACCAGTTTAAACTAACCGTCGAATGTGTGGTAAGATCACATAAAGAGAGACCATAATAAATTGGTTTAACCGTATGAAGTAACCCAGTATTTAATTTTGGGTATTCCACAGCTGTTGCGACTTGTGACCGCGTATAATGTGAAGTTAAGAAAACTAGTTCCACTATTCCGTGACCACTAACAGTTACGGTTATTGCTAAATAAATGTTCTACTGAATTAAATTGTTTAAATTGTGGTCTTTGTTTTCGTACGTTCAAAGTTTCCGATACGGATCGTTGTTTTGTGTAGGTTCTGACTGCACGGTTGGCGCGGTGGCCGGGCAACCGGCTACCGCGCAAGGTGTAGCGGATTCGATTCCCTCACGGAGCAGCAACTCTTTGTGTGATCCACAAATTGTTGTTTCGGGTCTGGGTGTCATGTGTTTGTGAACGCACCCACGAGTAGAAAATTCTAGTGTGCGGGGGCAACGTTTCGAAAAAAAAAGAAAAGATTTTGTCATTCATTCTCCATGTACATTTTCCCTGCTTTGGAAAATAAAACTGCGCATTGGCGCGCTCTGTATCTTGTACCAGGTACTGTTCGATGTGATGCTGTTTATTGTAATTTTGGCACAATATTGTGAATATCCAGCATGATTAGCATATTTTATTACTATTTTAAGGTTACGCTTTCTGGGCATTATCATTAACTCGTCGAGTACCGGTTTTATAGACACAATTAAAGAACAATAGGTCGCGGTCACCGGTGACCGCTTGGTGTTTGACAGTTTAATGGCCTTATATGCTCCTTTTAGACCAAACAAGGTTCATAATTTATACATTTTCATTTCCACCAACCATGACGAGGAAAAACTAACTTAATATCATAATTTAAATTAATGACGTAACGGTCTTTAGAGACGACGTCCATTTTCAATTATAATTTAGGGTACGCTTTAATTAATTTCAATCTACAGATTTTCCTGTATTGCATTAATAATTTAGACTAACTTTGTATACTGTTAGGCATTATCTTCGTGAACGTAAACGATCAGTGCTTCACACAGCCGCCTTTAGTCAATCACCGGCACACGAGTAATCTATTTAGGCGCCCAATCCACTCCTCTGTTAATATGTTCGCCTGGTACCAGTGAAACCAACTAAGGCTACACTAGATGAAACAGACAGATAGCGTGCCCTGATTTCAGGTCCTGAGGTGTGTTAATTACTGTTAATGGAATGAGTGAGAGGTTTCATTAAAGAGAGATGGGTAGATATTTATCAATTCGTAGTGATTAAAATTGATTCTGTATAGTATTGGTTACGATGTTGATGATTATTGAAAGTAGATATAGATATTCAGGGTTTATGATGTCCGAGTAACGCGTAGCTGTATGTATTAGAGAGAGGTATCATGTTATGTTTTATTAAAATAGAAAACATCAGTTGCCAACCCTGTTCTTCTCGTGGGTGTCATAAGAGTATAAGAGCCAACTAAAGGATTACACATTTAACTGAGATCAGGCAGCAGCACTTTCTGATAAACCAGAACCTTTAAAATTTCTATCCAACTCTTCGTGGAGATTGTGACAAACCCCAACAAACTCTTATGTAGAGGAGACCCATACATATGATAGTCTAGTAGCGTACTATAAATGTTTATTCTGATCTTGGAAGCATGAAACCTATGAGCCAGTCAAAAATGTAGATAGTAAGGAAATTATAATAATATGTTTCAACACTAATACATGGAACTGACAACCTTATAAACACCCATCTACATACTTAAAAGAGAAAAATCGTATACAAAATTGAAATCCCTGTTTCAGACAGGTAAATTTCCGTCGAGACCTAATCTAAATTTCACCGCCCGTGTATGTTTTAATAGTTTGGAAATCTGAACTGTTTTGCCTAAGTCCTTGTGCTAACAGATATAGGGTGCTTCAAAGATGAAGTTGGAGTCATCAATATTGTATCTCTTGGCAGCTAAGCTCTTGGACTAACAAGCTGCTGTGAAGAGATAGGTGAGGTCATGTCTGTCGTAACTGTTGTTTTGATAGTCAGTATTGTATAGAATAAATTGGAGTTAGGAACATCATGGTAGGTCTTTGAGTAGATGGACTTGAGTGGATGATTTTCAACCTTATTATTTGTTGATATAGTCGACAGTCAGCTAAAAACGACAAATTGGGGTAGGTGTAGACGACAATACGCCCTGGGACCTAGAGGCGAAAGTACTCGCGTCACTATACCGATGGCGCGAGGAAGAGCGGACACGGGGCTCGAGGCCGGTGCAGCGCCAAATCGAGCGGCGCCGAGAGGAGCTCCGTCAGGTCTTGGTGGCGGAATGGCGGCAAAGGCTTTTGCGCCCCACCGTCGGCCTCGCTACCGTCGAGGCGATCCGGCCAGTACTCGACGACTGGCTTGGGAGGAAGCACGGCTCCCTGTCGTTTAGAGTGACGCAGGTGCTGTCGGGGCACGGCTGCTTCGGCAAGTACCTGTGCCGCATAGAGAGGGAGCCGGACGCCCGGTGCCACCACTGCGTCCATTGCGGGGAGGACACGGCGCAACACACGCTCGCCGAGTGTGTAGCTTGGGAGGAGCAGCGCCGTGTCCTCAGAAATGAAGTAGGAAGCGATCTGTCGCTGCCGGCCGTAGTGCGGAAGATGGTGGACAGCGCAGAGTCGTGGGACGCGGTGGTGTCTTTCTGCGAGGATGTGATGTCGCAGAAGGAAACTGCGGAACGGGAGAGGGAGATCTTACTGACTTCCTTTCCCAACCGCAGAAGGCGCACCGGGCGTAGGAGAAGGGCCGACAACGCCCTCTTCCGGCCCCCATAAATGGGTCCAGGGGCGAAGGACTTGGGGAAGTCCTCGCCCCCGACTTCAAAGACCCGAGTCGAAGGCGCGCGCGGGTGTCGGCGTGCGCCTTTGAGGCGATGCACGTGGTGCACTGCTCCGTGCAGGTGACGGGGCCCTGACATACGGGCCGGCACTGTAATGCGGGGCTGCGGATGAATTTGGACTCCCGTGGCCCCGCACGCACGTGTGAGGAGACACTGGGGTGGTTTTAGCCGGTAAGAGTCCGGCACACCCCTCCGCCTTTCCCCAGGCGGAGGCAGTCCATGAGGATTTCCCCCCAAAAAAAAAAAAAAAAAAAAAAAAAAAGGTGTAGACGACAATAGAATAAATTCTCACAGTTATACCACCCTCATCTCTTCCCGTGGGTATCGTAAGAGATTACACGTTTGATAGGTACTAGGACTTCAGAGCAAACAAAGATCTCTGATGAATCTGAACCTTGCAAGCCACAATATTCTATCCACTTGCCAACCGCGAAAACAATTTCAACATCTCTTATGTAGAAAAAGCCTATAGTAGCAGTGGCCTGTTTCGGCCTGTTGATTGACAAAAAAGCTATGGAGATAGAACAAAAATCATGTTTTCAGCAGCTAAACTAGCAACCGTTTTAACTTAGATAATGTTATGTAGGATTACTCCCACAGTCCCTAGAGGACTATTCATTTTATAACTTAGTTTAAATTCATACAAACACAAACAAAAAGGTTTTACTTTCCATTTGTATTTGACACCAAATGCGGGTAGTATGTAATTTAAACGGTCACTACGTGCGGGTATTTTTAAATATAGAACTTGGAGGTATTTTTCTGTTATACGTTTTTTTTTGTTTCTATTTACATTCGGGTTTTAAATTTATAAGAAAGCGGTCGCCTATTTTGTTAATTTAATGATCATGATATTTTAAAATTAGAATAAATCATACCAGGAACATAATAAATCATCAAGTCGAAATAATTCAGATTGGACAAAGTATTATTGATTTTTTTTTAATTCGGAGTAGGTATTAGCCTTGTACATTATCCAGGTTCCATTTTCCTACCACCATAGACGTAGAAGTTTTATATGCGACCTATTTTTTTAATGGTCATCATAAATGTATAACTGAAATTGAATCTTTGTGCTTTAACAATAAAGTTGACTTTTGCCTACAATGAACTTCAAGTGATATTAGAATATCAGTGCAAATAGATTTCTAACGACAAAACTTTCAATAGTCTTCGTATAGCTTTTTCAGTGTACTATCTATGTTAGAATTCAACATAGTAAAGTAGATAGCATATCACTTTTTATGATAATATGTATGTATTTTAAAAGATAAACGTAACTTTTTTAGTTAGTTCGACTAGTTTCAAGCGACTACGGGGACTCATAATCACGAGTACCACGCGAGATCATCGAAGATTATTACGAATTAAAAAATCTCAGTAGTGGCATGTATCCTAGAATTGTGCTAGGCACATCCCCTATTAAATGGGACTCATAACATAAATAGTGAAAAGTGGATATTACATCGTTCATTAAGGCAATAATAATCGGTCTTTGTTAGATTATAATGTTGTCTGGCATCATCTACATTATTATATTTCTTACATTATTCTTATTACGTTAAACGCCATGGGGGTCACCGGTGACCGATGTTAGCGGAGGATTTACCTTCAATAGTTTTTTACATAACATCACGCCTTTTATCCCCGAAGGGGTAGTCAGAGGTGCACATTATGCCACTGTACAATGTAACACCCACTTTTCACTATTTATGTTATGAGTCCCATGTAATAGGGGGTGAGCCTATTGCCATATACCGGGCACAATTCCAGACTCCGTGCTACTACTGAGAATTTTTTTTTAAACCCAGTAATTCTTTGCCCGACCCGGGAATCGAACCCGAGACCCCTTGCAGTGGCACTTGCGACCACTCGGCCAACGTGGCAGTCAGTCCTTTTTTATTGGCAGTCAAAGGGTTATTTAAGGAACGACTTTTGGTCTTTGTGTTTAAAAAGTTACACATAGGTCGCTTGCTAACACAAGCTTCTGTTTAATATTACCAGAAAGTTGAACGTTCAAAGATAATATCACGTAGGTATTTGTTTTAATTGTGATTTCACTTATGTCATTTAGATTAATGACTTTGTAACTCAAGTTTGACATCTAATCTATTAAACTTGGGAGATCGATTAACGACGATTTATGTTTCTAAAGATTGAACACATTTTCATTTTGACTTTAAGTGCACAATAAGAATGACAAGAGCGCACATGAATCGAAACGCACAATAGAGTTAAACAACTAGATTTTGAAACATGTTTAATTTCAAACAACAAATATAATTAACTAAAATATTTACACCTTAAAACCCACTCTTGGTCTGATATGGACTTCAGCATTATTCGTGCAGTTTTTAACAAATCATTGAGAAATATCAGTCTCAACGACAACGACATTGCATCTTGGTATTATTTATAAATGGAGATACATAATATAACATCACGCCTTTTATCCCTGAAGGGGTAGGCAGAGGTGCACATTATGCCACTGGACAGTGTACCACCCACTTTTCACTATTTATGTTATGAGTCCCAAGTTATAGGGAGTGAGCTTATTGCCATAGGTATACCGGGCACAATTCCAGACTCCGTGCTACTACTGAGATTTTTTTTTAAACCCAGTATTACTTTGTCCGATCCGGGAATCGAACCCGAGACCCCTTGCCCGCCAGTCGCACTTGCGACCACTCGGCCAACGAGGCTGTTAAATGGCAATATTTCGAACATAATATTATTATTTTCTTGCAATTATCTCATACAAAAACTGCACATTTAATTAACTTCCCTAATTCAACAGTACTAATTAAAACTTTGTCCTACCAGGAGACAATGACTTCGTGGACAGTATAGAGAAGATAGGACCAACAGTCACGCAGGTCTACGAACACCCGTACGCAGCTACACTCAACAAAAACGACACCTACATCTGCAGTGCGGTCATACTCAACGTGTACTGGCTACTGACACTCTCCAAATGCTTTGATGCGTAAGTACCGATCATTAACAAAAAAAAAAGATAAAACCCATCCAATAGAAAAGAAAGATATGAAAAAATACACATAAACATCAAAGAGTAAAATGCTGGAAAAGTCATTAATGATTTTTTTTTTATATTCGTAACGGCTACCAGGCAATCATGTGTTGCTAGGAGATAAATTAGCTTACCGTAACTAAAGTGAGTTGGGGTTGAAATTGTATCATAGTAATTTAAACAAAGAGGCAACATCGTGTCGTTACACTTATCCTTTAAATGAATATACGTCTCTTCGTCAAATTGCCCATATCTTCTACTAAAATACCATTAGGTCCTTGATTAACCCTTTATAAGCTACCAAAGGCTTAAGCAATATAAGGAGGTTTTTGGTAGTGTTTCTCACACATCGGGTTACATTTTCGAAATTTTCACACGGTTCCCTTTTTCTCTCTTATTAAATATAGTGTGTACTCTATGTTCATCATCGATAATGTAGGATTTCAACAGTAAAAGAATTTTACTAATCGTCCTGTAGTTTCGGAGGAGATTCCATTCAAACAAACAATCAAACATAAATTATTATGTTTTCGGCTTACTCACTTATTTGACGAGGAACTCGACTAGTTTCAAGCCATGCTAGAGGCTCACATTCAAGAGTAGCGACGCGGCGACTTTCGCGCAACTACTGGCTACTAAAGTCTGCGGGCTCAGCGCGCCCTCTGCCGTGATTCACCCGCATTTTCGTTTAATTGTGGTATGGTGCGTATAAACGCACAAAATAATTTACCTAATAAACAAAACATGAAAAAAGCATTTGGCATTTTATTAAAGTAAATATTGCGATGACAAAACGATTTCCGCGACTTCGTAAGTTCATTCCAAACCATAGCACTATGGTAAGCAATTTAATTTAATTTATGCAGATTTCAGTTAATTACGCACAGTCTATACTATATAATCAGGTGTAATTACAAGCTCGATATTGCAGTTATACGCTTTAGCATTTTGCCTGTAATAACTTGACATAAATTGCCGGAATGTTAATTAGCAGTAATAATATGTCCTGCTTGTTATGTGCTCCTAGTAACTTAAGGGCGCGTCCTATGTTAATAGTACGTAAATTACGAGTAAGCGAGTAAGGCAAGACTCACATTCTTGATCATAAAATATGTTTTCGTTGAGGTATACAAGTAAATACTAAACACTTTACTATATCAGATCACAGATCTAATCTATTGATGAAGGAGGGACCGAAATGGTATAGTTATAGGTACTTAGTCCAGGACCTCAAAATGCTCCATCGTCCTAACTCGTATTCAAATTAATTCTAATAAATGGCAGTTTAAACAACCAATTACAAAGTTTATCTTAGCTGTTTATGCACAAATTAAGGATACTGTTTACGTTAAATTAAGACAAGATTACGAATCTCTTAGTCGATGGCAAATACTCATTTATTCAGTCAACATCTCCAAAGGGTAGATTGCTGTCTCGTTTTAGAATAGAATAGAAAACTTTTATTTCAGACCGGAGTCCATAATTAGGGTTAGTAACAATTTTAACTTAAATTCTAGTGTTAGTAGGTTACATGAATTAAATTAAATTTCGGCATGGAGCCGTATCCACCTTCCCCACATCGGGGAATCCCACTGATCTACGAATACACTGAGAATGCTGTTGGTGCCGCCACGAACGCGAGCCATCAGGGACGCACATCTTTTTCTAATGATGGCGGAAAAACTATCAATATTATTATCTGCAAACATCCCTGACGCACTACATCGCCTTGGCAGCCGCAGCAGCACCCTCAGTGCATTATTATACTGAACGCGCAGGTCGCTGTAGGCCCGCCGAGTGAAGCCGACCCACAGGCCGCACGTGTAAAAAGACTGACAATAGGCTTTGAAAAGGGTAACTTTAACCGGCTTCGTACAGCGCGCAAACCTGCGGGCCAGCATGTTGCAACGGACCGCCAGCGACCTACGTTCCCTTTCAATGTCACAATTGTCTTTAAGGTCTTCAGTGACCCAGTGGCCTAGATATTTAAATTTGTCCACCCTTCTCAGTGGTTCTCCACAAAGTGCTACGTCTGGGATACATGGATAAGTCAGACTGCCAGCTTTAAAAACCATTAGTTCGCTCTTAGTGACATTATATTTGAGCCCATGATTCACCGCATAGTCTTCACAAACAGCAATCAGTCGCCTCAGAGCACCGATTGATGGGCTCATTAACACCATGTCGTCTGCGTAGCTAATATTGTTAATGCACACCCCGTCAATATGACATCCAACATTGGTGCCGCTAAGCCCAACAATCAGCTGGTTTATGTACAGGTTGAAGAGTCGGGGCGAACTGAGCCCCCCTTGCCTCACCCCACACTTCAACCGATACACGTCCGAATACGAACCATTCCACTTCACGCTATTGCTTTGACTACTGTACCAGTATTTAAATATGGATACTAATTCAGATGGCAATGTAGTTTCAGATTCTAGTTTACGCCACAAAACATCATAACAAACGAGATCAAATGCCCGTGAGAGATCTAGAAAACAAGCAAAAATAGGCGTTTTCCTGTCTGTATAGTATTGAACAGTCTGCTTGAGACAAAAGATTGCACTCTCAGTTGATAGCCCAGGCTTAAACCCGAACTGGGCATCATGTAATTCAAGGTGACTAGCCAATTGTTTATCAAGCAGACTATCCAACACCTTAGCTATGACAGTAGCCAGAGAAATGGGCCTATAATTGGTAATGTCAGAGACATCCCCTGTTTTATTTTTCACAATAGGTACTACCATTGTGTGCATCACATCATCCGGTAAGTAACCGTGACTAACGCACAGGTTGAAAACCAATGCAAGTACTCGCGGCAGGTGTCGCCCCGCATACCTCAGGTGCTCGATTTTTAGCATTCTAATGTCAATTGCAGAGACAGAGACGCATATGTTTGTTGAAGTTCAGCTTGCTCATTGCGTGGGATGTATTACTTTTTGCTCCGTCTGTAATAAACGAATTAACGATCACTTTCTGTTGCTATTCCATTTTCTTGTAATCCTAAGTGACCAAGCTCGAAATTCTTCATGACTTACTCCTTATTGCTAATGAACTCCTAGTTTTTATTATATATGTCGAAGCGTCAACGCATATCAATTAATTTAGATGTGGCAACTATTGTTTGAGAACGTCAAGTAATTACTTGAGGATGGTTAGCGCGGAGTAATGGCAACACTGATGGAAATATCGATCCGGAAGTTTAATCAGACTTTGACATTTGACAGCGGATGACGTTGACAGACGTCACTGAGCGCGGGAAACACTTTTGGAAAGGATCGCGGCGGTGGCGGCAGCTAGAAGGGTTACTCCCTGCTAAACTTCCTGCGTTCTTACTATTATCAGTAATTTGGTATTTTGGTGTGATTCGACAATGTCGCGACCCACGGGTAGCGTATCTCCGACATCAGAAGTGGGATTGGACCACGACGACGACTCACGCGTTCGTAATGAAGCTAGTGACGAAAAATGGATGCGTCTGTTAGAACAACAGAACCGCAATTTTCTGACGCTGATTGAAGCTATGAAAACACCTACTTTGCCGTCACATGGCTTTCGTTTACCCGATTTCGATCCTGAAAAACAAGATGTGGATGCACGTGCTTGGGTGACGACTGCAGAGATGTGTTTGACGAACCAAGTCCAGCATGGCGCCCCGCTTATGGTTGCTCTAAGTCGCGCCTTGAAGGGAGGAGCTTCTACCTGGCTATCTACCGTGTCGTATCCTGGTATGACGTGGACCGATTTTAAGCGACTTTTTATTGCAAGGTACGATAATTCCGCTACTATTGCTTCGTTCATGATTGATTTGCAAAGCAGCAGGCCTAAAGAAAACGAGTGTCTTGCTTCCTACGCTGCTGGTTTAATGTCGTCGATCATGGCAAGATGGAATGGTCTTAGCACTGAACGTTTGGCTATTGCTACTATATTGGCTCACATTTCTCAATTTGATCGCCGTGTGCAACGCTTATCTTTCACGACCGATATTCAGACACGTGGCCAGCTACAACAAGAGCTACAAGCTGTTTCTTTTATGAAAAGAAAGGTACCTAGTGATGACCGGGATGCCCCTGAGAAGCATACAGGGTGAATAACTCTGAGAAGCCTCTGAAGTGTTTCATCTGTGGTAAGCCAGGTCACAAATCCGTGCAATGCTACCATAAGGGTGTGAAACAGGATAATCAAGCTACTCCGAAGCACCACAACCACACCAGTGGCAATGGGAGAGGTTCATCAGCAACTGCGAAGCCTCGTGCATCTGGGATCACCTGCTTCCACTGCCATGCGCAAGGCCACTACGCATCAAGCTGTCCACGGCGCACCGAGAGGAGCAGTGCCGACTCCGGGTCTTCCAAGCCTGTCAATGAGAAGAGGGTTGACCTGTGCCTCTTGAACGCACCGACTGGAACTCTATGTCACTCCGGTGAGAAATTTCCATTTTATTATGACTCTGGTGCTGAGTGTTCATTAATAAAAGAATCAATAGCCTGTAAATTTAAAGGAAAGCGTATTAATGAGACTGTGACTATGACTGGGATAGGGCAGACTTCCGTTAACTCAACAATACAGATTTTAACTTTGGTAGAGATTGATGATATTAATATTGAGGTTTGTTTTCATATATTGTCTGATCATCTTCTACGTTATGGTATTATGATTGGACGTGAGATTCTAGAACATGGTTTGACTGTACAGTTGACTAGTGACCGAGTTAAGATCTTTAGGTCTCTTTTTATTGCTTCTTGTGAGGTAGAGCGAACCCCTGAAATTGACTGGAACTCTATTGATACTGACATACCAGCGGATCGTAGAAAAGAGTTAGTTAGTACCTTGCAGGCCTTTGAGAAATCTTTCACTACAGGTATACCTACTGCACCAGCCGATACGCAGCCAATGCAGATTCGTCTGAAGGATACAAGTAAAACTGTAAATCGACGTCCTTATCGATTGAGTGTGGAAGAGCGTAAGGTTGTACGTGGTAAAATTGACGAGTTGCTTCAGGCTGGTATTATAAGGCCTAGTTCATCCCCTTACGCGAGTCCTATACTCTTGGTGGAGAAAAAGGATAAGTCTCTTCGACTATGCGTCGATTATCGTGAATTAAATGACAACACAATCTCTGATCGTTTCCCTTTGCCTCTTATATCGGATCAAATTGATAGATTGCATGGAGGACACTACTTTTCCACCATCGATTTGGCATCAGGTTTTCACCAGATCCCCATTGCAACAGAATCTATTGAAAGCACCGCCTTTGTTACCCCCGATGGTCATTTCGAATACCTGACGATGCCATTTGGCTTGAAGAATGCACCCGCGGTTTTTCAGCGTGCGATGATAAATGCTCTTGGAGATCTTGTGAACACTTATGTCGTTGTGTATATGGATGACGTCTTGATTGTTGCATGTGACGTTGACGAAGCCTTGGAACGTCTTAATATTGTCCTTAAGGTGTTGTCTGAAAAGGGTTTTACCATCAACTTTAAAAAGTGTACTTTTCTGAAACAAAAGGTAGAGTACTTAGGGTTTGAGGTTAACCGCGGAGAGATTCGTCCTAATCCACGTAAGATTGAAGCATTAACGGCACTACCACCGCCTGAGACTGTGACACAGCTACGGCAATTTATCGGTTTGGCGTCATACTTTCGCCAATTCGTGGCACGGTTCTCACAGGTGATGGCGCCGTTATATGCCCTGACTTCTGGGAATGGTAAGTTGACCTGGAAGCCGGAACACGAGGAAGTTAGGCAGAAAATTGTAACCGCTCTCACAAATGAGCCTGTGCTCATGATCCATGACCCTGATGCTGAAACTGAAGTTCACACGGATGCCAGTGCCGTAGGCTACGGTGCGGTGTTACTGCAAAGAAAAGAAGGTAAGCTACACCCAGTCGCCTACTACAGCAAGCGTACGTCTGACGCCGAATCGAAGTACCACTCGTATGAACTCGAGACCCTCGCGGTGGTCAATGCCGTAAAACATTTTAGGCGTTATCTCCATGGTCGCAAGTTCAGAGTAGTCACCGATTGTAATTCCCTGCAGTCCACACGCAAGAAGTTGGACCTGACGCCACGTGTTCATCGGTGGTGGGCCTTTCTACAAGGATTCGATTTTGACATTGTCCATCGTGAAGGTAAAAACATGTGCCACGCCGACTTCTTCTCCAGGAACCCATTACCGCCAGCTGAAACTAAAAACAAGGTTAGTGAGAAGGTAGTACTTAAGGAGGTAAACCTCGCAGAGCTATCGCAAAATTGGCTGATGATGGAACAGCACAACGTGACCCTGAGATTTTAAAGCTCTTGGCTGACATCGATACCAATGAGCTCCCTGTTGATGTTGCCAAAACTTACGAGCGACGATCCGGTGTCCTGCATCGAAAAGTGCAACGAAATGGTAAAAATCGTTGGTTACCTATTGTTCCCCGTTCCTTCCGCTGGTCCGTTGTTAATAACGTTCACGAGGGATTGCTGCATTTGGGTTGGGAGAAAACGCTGGAAAAACTCTACGACCTCTACTGGTTCGAGAACATGTCGAAGTTTGTGAGAAAATTCGTAGAGAACTGTGTGACCTGTAAGATTTCAAAGTCACACACAGGTAAGGTCCAGGCGGAGATGCACCCAATTCCAAAGGTAGCTATACCATGGCACACGTTGCACATCGACGCTACCGGGAAACTGAGTGGCAAAAACAACAAAAAGGAGTACGTTTTCGTTCTAATAGACGCCTTCACCAAATTTGTTATGCTGCATCACACCCTGCACATTGATACAGCAAGCAGCATCAGAGCGCTGAAGGCTAATGTCGCTATCTTCGGTGCTCCTTCGCGCTTGATCGCCGATCAAGGGCGCTGCTTCGCTGGCAAGGAGTTCAGGGAGTACTGTGCTTCAGTTAATATCAAGCTACACTTGGTCGCCACAGGTAGTTCTCGTGCCAACGGACAAGTTGAACGAGTGATGAGCACGCTCAAAAACATGCTCACTGCTGTAGAAACAAGCAATCGCTCGTGGCAGGATGCGTTGCCCGACGTTCAACTTGCCCTCAACTGTACCGTAAGTAGAGTCACGAAAGCTAGTCCACTCGAGCTACTGATTGGTAAGACAGCTAGACCTATCGATATTATGACGGCAAATGATGAAGAGCCTCATGTCGACATCATTGAGGTGAGAAAAATGGCTGTTGAGAACATGGAGAAAGCTTCTGCCTATGACAAGCAACGTTTCGATTCTACGAAGGCTAAAGTACAGTCATTCTCTGTAGGTGACTTTGTTTTGCTGCAAAATGAGGAGCGGAACCAGACGAAACTTGATCCCAAATACAAGGGACCGTTTAGGGTGATCGAGGTTCTGGATGGTGATCGGTACGTTTTGAAGTCTCTTTCTTCCGCCCGGACGTACAAGTATGCACATGACCGACTGCGAAAAATTACAGACGTTGACATACATGTAGGTGACGATGACGAAACTAGCCATGACGATGACGATAACACCGACATAGCTTGTTGAATGCTTTCAACGTAAAATGGTACATTTTACTTTATTTTAGCACAGTAAGAATTTTGTTATAATCTATTGTAATATCGTATTGTAACGTGAAAAACAAAGTAACATGATGAACAAACCTACTTTAAAAATTAATTTTGATAAAGGCTCGAAATGATTATCTTGAGGGTGTTATGTTTTGTAACCGGATGGAGGTTACATGTGGAGGTGGCCGGATAGAGGTTGCCTGTTGTGTTTTGTAACCGGATGGAGGTTACATGTGGAGGTGGCCGGATAGTGGTTGCCTGTTGTGTTTTGTAACCGGATGGAGGTTACATGTGGAGGTGGCCGGATAGTGGTTGCCTGTTGTGTTTTGTAACCGGATGGAGGTTACATGTGGAGGTGGCCGGATAGAGGTTGCCTGTTGTGTTTTGTAACCGGATGGAGGTTACATGTGGAGGTGGCCGGATAGTGGTTGCCTGTTGTGTTTTGTAACCGGATGGAGGTTACATGTGGAGGTGGCCGGATAGTGGTTGCCTGTTGTGTTTTGTAACCGGATGGAGGTTACATGTGGAGGTGGCCGGATAGAGGTTGCCTGTTGTGTTTTGTAACCGGATGGAGGTTACATGTAAAGGTGGCGGGATAGAGGTTGCCTGTAGTGTTTTGTAACCGGATGAAGGTTACATGGTGAAGGTGACCGGATAGAGGTTGCCTGTTGTGTTAGTAACCGGATAGAGGTTACGTGTTGAAGACCGGGTGGAGGTCGATTGGTTCGATGCTTATGACCGGATGGAGGTTATAAGTGTGATGATGATGACCGGATGGAGGTCAGAGTATGAGCACTGCAATATTTAAAAGAGTGTCCTATTACTTGAAGGAATATGAGTTAGTTCAACATGTTAGTCTTGAGAGAAAGAATTTGCTATTTTCGTTATCCCCTATAATGATTACCAAAGTACCTTTTCCCTCTACTTGGGCCAGGAATGGCCGAACGACTGTTATGAGTATTCGAGAATGTTATTCCTTTCCAGGTACTCCACACGAGGACGTGTGATCATCAGGACGGCCGTGTCGAAGCGTCAACGCATATCAATTAATTTAGATGTGGCAACTATTGTTTGAGAACGTCAAGTAATTACTTGAGGATGGTTAGCGCGGAGTAATGGCAACACTGATGGAAATATCGATCCGGAAGTTTAATCAGACTTTGACATTTGACAGCGGATGACGTTGACAGACGTCACTGAGCGCGGGAAACACTTTTGGAAAGGATCGCGGCGGTGGCGGCAGCTAGAAGGGTTACTCCCTGCTAAACTTCCTGCGTTCTTACTATTATCAGTAATTTGGTATTTTGGTGTGATTCGACAATGTCGCGACCCACGGGTAGCGTATCTCCGACATATAAGATTATATAAGTTGTCAAAACGTAAAGAAAAAGAATAAATCCTGTCGAAGGATTAGATAAATAAAGCAACAACATTCAAACAACATTTTAAGTATTCAACAAAAACTAAATTCGAAGAATAAGTGCTTGTCAAAGAAGGGAAATAGAAAAAACCTTTTACATATTATAAGTTATATGCGGACTTCCGAATATAAACGTCAGACGATACATAAATCATCCTATTTTACTGTGATACTAAACATCACAGTTTATGTTAGAGCCCGTTAATATCCTAGCCGGTTTATGTAAGATCCCTCTAATATCCTCGATGGGTCCCACAATAAGAAAGATACAACGGTATACGGGTCCTTTTATACGGAAGTTAGGGTACGGTCGAATACAGTTTGCCATTTAAAGGTACTAGGCTCGCAGAAATTGAAAGGGATTTGCGAAATGTGTAGTTGAATTTGATGGTGGGTAAAATAATAGTGGCGAAGGGCTCTAATGATTAAATTAATTGCGAGTGATAAACGTGATAATTTGTCTGCGACGTCTTATGTACAGACTATTCTTAAATTACTATAGGTAATTAGATATTAGATTATATTTTTAAAGATAGGGAATGACCTAAAAAAAGTCTAAGTAACTAAACAAAATCATTAGGTAGAATATCAAAAAATGTAATTAAGTTCACCTATTTCTTATCTTACCTACACTAACAATATAATAAAGATTATCTGTATAATAATCATTATTATGTTAATCACCGCCTATATTTTTAACAAACAATCACAACAAAAACACCAGGAGCACATATTAATCAAGCAGCCTTCTATTCCACAATAAACCACCCTCTCCGATCTATTGTCTGTTTAAAATTTATGTAAACAGCATTCTTTTGTTCCAGCGGCGTCATAACTTCGTACGTCACACACAAGAACCTAACCAGCTACTCGATAAGAGTCGGCAGTTCTTATAACAACAAAGCAGGAGATTTATATAAGGTAAATATTTTCAAATGAATGCATAAACTCACGTCTTTGTCCAGCGGATAAGTGGAATGCAGATTTTTTTATAATTTTTCAGACCTTAGCCTCACTAAGGATTTCAAATATTGTATTTGTAGTGACGTAGGTTTAATACCGTAGACAATAATTATGAAAATGGCAAATAGAGAGGGTTCTCTAACTTAAGCAAACTTAGATTTATTTGATACCGTGGAATAAGATTTCTTGCTTCTAGCGGCACTTGACCGACCAATGTGACAGTAAAGTCTAATATCTGATAGTCGGCTAAAATCAGCAAAATTATAGAAATGGAATCGGTAATCGGTCCTATAGCAATTAGCACTCGGTCTAAGTACACGGGTTTCCTTTCTGGAGGTAAAATTACACTCATTGTCTTTTTTTAATAATTACCTTTAATGATATCAGACTGGCCATCTGCAGAAAAGATCAGATGTGACCGTACTCTTTAAGTTAATTTTAAAACGAAATTTCACGTAGGTACCTATTGTATTAAAAAATTGTTATCTTTACCGATCCGATCGTTTTTTTTTTAATTCCGAACCGAAATCGTTTTTTTTCGGTAGCTCAGCAGTCGTCATCGCTTCTAATAGTTTTTGGCAATATTATCGTTTTAACACAAAACTATTGTATTAAATAGATAAGTATATGTAGATAAAGGACACAAACAAAACGGAATTCGCAGGCTCAAAGCATCAACAAGGAAAATCGTATAAAACTTACTTAAGTGGAAAAAGATAATGAAAATGACAAGCCGGCGATAAATTAGTGGTGCGACATTTTATCGGAGCGGACTCAGTGAGGGACTTTTCATGGTATAATTGTTTTCTGAGAAGGTTAACTAAAATGGTGCTCTTTGCTTATGTTACTCTGGTAGATTATTGCGATAAAATTAATCATTTTCATTCAAGTACTCTTTTGATTATTTTATGTTTGTTTGATTTATTTCAATTATTATTTTGTTTTGTTTGCTCAGCAGATGGCACTAATGTAATTTGATCCGGACTTCCTGTCCAATAGAGAAGAATATGTCTGTTAGACAGTGACCAAAAATGAGATACCATTTTTTTAATAATTAAATACCACTAGTTATTCATTCTCAGTACTTTAATCTCATTTCCAATGATAAAAAGATATTAAGTGCTTCACAAAAATGTTTATAAAGTAAGCAAATGAGTGATGATATCAGTCGTTTTACTCCGAACGTAAAATCTTTACTACCACACTGCAGGGACTGGTAATGACTCGGTAACCGACTTCGTTTATTGTCATTCGACGTATGATCTCTCATGGACGCGCGAATTCGTATGAAATGAGATATTTTTCGAGAATTGTATGACTGTCATTAACTTTTGAATAGTGGAATTAGAATGTTCTTCTCGGGTCTTACGTCATTGTTGATTATATCTTTACCAAGGTATCATATGTGAAAGACTTTGGTAAAACAAATTTCTGTATTAAAATTCGCCAATTTATAGGATAAGTCCAAAATTAATTGCACTAATTAATTAAACCGTTTTATAAAAATGCGTTCAATTTTCACGAACACGTTCATCTCTTGTCTAGGTTGCCTTAAATGAACGTCACAGGTACCAGGCGAACAGGTAGCGTTAGCAGGTTTCATTTGAGCTGCATTCATATTTTATTTAGGAATGGCACGTCGCGTCGCGTCTGCGTACTACAAACACTAATCTGGATGGCAAGCGTGGTGATTAAACCTTCAGTGCTGCTGTGTCGAGTAGTTTATTGAACCTCTCTATTGTGCTGCTACACTAATAATTTATTTGTAAAGCCTTGCTCAGGTTGTTGACATTTATTCAGAAATGCTCAGACATAAATATTTATTGATAATTATTCAGCACATCGTTCTGGTATATTATCTTCTTGAAAAGAGAAGTATAGTTCAACATTAGACAGCAAGAAACAGTTTTGAATAAAATAAAAAAAATATTAGTACCGAGAAGTGGATGAATGATAAATTAATCTTCATTCCTTCACTTCGATTTACCGATAAAACCCATTTTCCTAATTACTTATTAAAAGACATGAAGCTCTGTAATTCAGACTTCGTAATAGTTAAAAGATAATAAAACCATTTTCTAATAACAAGCTGAACGGCTTTCGAGGAATTGATAAAACTATTTACTACGCACTAACTCTGGGAATTCAAGTTTTTACTACGCGATTCGCAATAATTGCGAAACCAGCTGTTCGCTTAAAATAAAATATAAACTTATTTTTGTCTACAGTCTCATTGTTTTAGTGGATATTATACAGTAAATTTTAAGAAACTGTGCTATTATTTTATTTAAAGAATTATTTAATGTATTAAGTTAATGTTTTGTTTATGCATAAATGAGGAGTACTGAATAAACTGACTGAGTTCACAATAAGCTTATATAAACACTGTTTTATCAATATTTTGTCACAGACACACATAAAACGCGTGAACATATTCTTGTAGTAAGCATTTCATCCATTTGTTCCAGATAAAAATGATGATTAACAACTTCGACCAGAAAGTAACTGCCACCAAGTTGGAAATTCAGATGGTGTTCAGCTCTCGAGTGCAGAGCATAAGTCTACCACGTCCTGACGAAGAGATAGCACTCGGGTTCTTGTCTTCAATCATCGCATGGACTCCTAGTGGGGTGAGCTAATTTAGTATTTAGGTTTTCTTAATTATTGATCTTATGATCTTTATATACTTATCATATGGTCACTACATATACTACATACTGGTCATAGCATAGTCACGTTGATAAGTTATTTTAATTATTTTTAATAAGTAGATAAGTAATTATTTTTAATAGGTTAATGGTATATGATCAGACGGATAATCGAGACCAGAAAATAGTAAACAATTCTTCTGTAATCCAAAAATATTCTTTAAGTACATATGTATGTGAAATCTGACTGATGACTGTTAATGAAGCGAAAGAGGTATGTAAGAATCGTAGTAATTGGCGTTCCTTAGTCTCTGCCTACCCTCATGGGAGATAGGCGTAAAGTTATGTATGTATGTATGTATGTGAAATCTGTCCACTAGGATTCAAAATATAGAATAAACATGTCGCGTCGTTAGTATTAGGTATGTTGAGAAGGGTATAGTAGTCACCTAACAAACATACACATATACACCTATACTTAAATATACATTTATACGTGAAGTTAACACTTATTTCCATTATCATTTGGAAAAATGTCAGAAGAAAAGAAAATATCTCTACCATTTTATATAAAATCAAGAAAATTGTACCAGGCATTCATATTATGGACGTGGTATAAAACAAAATATGTGAAGAAAGAACTTGGACTCGTTTGAACAATGGAGGGGAAAACGGGATGTGAATGTCCGTACATCTGACAAAAGGCTTAGTTTTATATTTTACGAAATGGAAAATGTATCTTTTTGCTAGAAAGACGGGAAAATGGTATAAGTACGTCTTGCTTATTAGGTACACGACTGACCATTTTTGTCAAGCAGAAGGGCAAAGTAAAGGCGCAAATTATATAATAGGCTATTTCAGATTTAAAGTAGAGTACACTAAGTCTACAATCGCGCCTAACGCTTATGAAAAGGTTTACTATCTCGTAACCTATATCGTTAGACATAGGTATAAGTGTTACATCGACGAGCACCCTTACCTCTACGTGCCTCTCTCTTTCTCTCACTCTATGTGCGATTATCCTAATGTAAACCCAAAGAGAACTGTTATAAGCATCACTTTTCTTTTATGACTCGCTTTTCCTTTTCCATTGGATGAAGCCAATGATTATATCAATGGGCTAACTCTATTAAAATGAATGGCGATAAGTCGTCTATAGCTTCGCTTATAGGAAAAATCTTGTTTTCAGCACATGCGAGTAGTAAACGCCCCGGCAATCGACGCTTCAATATGTGAAGCCAACACGAAGATGATACCAGGACACTATATATGTTTAGGAGGTGTTCAAGATCCTAACAGACACTTCTGTAGGGTAAGTTGATGAAATTGTTTAATACTGTTAAGTACTGATACTTAAAAAATGTGTCTCGGAAATTATTATTAGTGAAAACTAAATAATAAACATTAACCCTAAGTTTATAGCCATACACAGATGTACAAAGGAAATACAAAACAATACTATTTCTACAAACATATTATTCTCCAGCAAAACAAAAAAAACTTAAATACAAAACCAAAATTAAACATCTTGGGACTAAAACAACCACATATATAATTGTAAAATACATTTAAATTAAAAGGACGATAGTTAAAACTTCCATTACAAACCACAACAGAGAAACGGATCCATTATAATCCCCCACGCAAAGCAAACGATGGAAAGCAAAATTAGAAAACAATTTTCGTAAAATTGATACAATACCAACTTTAACAAAAGTACACAAAGAGTTTGAAGACCAAACAGTAATTATAGTAAAAGTTGTAACTAGGGCGAAACCGAATAGAAACAAAATCGATACTTAAATAACATTGCTAATCGAGAATTAATGCTTTACGGAGTTAATCTTAATCGGATAAATGGCTTTGCAAACTAGATGTTTTGGGTGTCGCTTACTTCGAGACGGTTCTCATTATTTCAAGGTCATGAACGAGATTTTAAGAGAGAAACTTTTGATTTAATCAACATCAACAGTCCATGACTATTACCGGCTGGACTGTGGACTCCATACATATAAAGTCATAATCATTTCTTTCAATTATACAGGAAGGCACTTTAGAACGTCATTAAAAAAATTTAAAGTGAAGCTATTTGCTCGTACCAAGGTGTACATTCCTATGGAGAAGAACGAGCATGAAACTCCATAGGTACTCTTTTTCAATCAGGTTCACAATACAATTCTCTAGTTATATAGTTTAATCTTGTCTAGTTATAAGACTGTTTGTCTTAATCTCCATGCTTAGCAGGCGAATGAGAGATCGCAGTTTAAATTGTTGAGCTTTATCAGAGAATTCTACTGCTTCGTTTATGTCAAATGTGTCCCAAAGTGGACTCTTACACCTAAAACTAAAATCGACAAAATTACATATCATCTCTTATAATTACTCCTAACTAAAATATCAGTACTAAGACCACATACGCCTGTAGGAGGTCATCAGTTGTTAGTCGTTCGCACAATATTCGCCACTCTCTTTAAATTTCCTTTCACACGGAAAGCATCGTGGCCGTTAAAAGGAAGTAACAGCATTATTTCTATTAAACTTATCATTTAACCCATAAATAAGTATCGTATAAATCTCGGCTCAGTCCCCTTGAAAATTCCTCCTCATTGGACCATTTAATCCTACCTTATAAAACGTATTTGAGAGTCTATTTATTTTACTCAATCCCAAGCAAGAACCGATAAATTTCTCAATGAGGAAGCCCACGTCAAGTGCCTCTGTCAAGGGAAAAGACGTTATTTTTTATACCGTTATCGAATACCATAGGGTATAAAATGGAATGAAATGTGTACGCTCCTCGTTGATCAATCTTGACGATAGCCCTATAAATTTATAAGCACGTATGTTCTTGGAAAAACTGATTGAAACTTATTCCATTTTAATTAGGAGCAATTTTCTGTAATTCTTTAACGTTTACTGAGAAATTTGTAATGGTTAAGCTTCAATGGAAATAATGATTCAATCGACTCAGAATTGTACCGCATTAAGCCAAGACGAATATTTTGAATTTAAGGCTTCACTAAGTTCCTCTTTGTATATCGTAGGTCTGTAATTCTTGAACTTTTAGGTATAGTCAGAAACCTAAAAAAGTCTAAAGCCATATCCAATCTGGTTATTGTTCTAAAAAAAACATTATTTCTTTAATGAACAAAACACTCTTTCATTCTACTAAACATCATCAGCCAATAAATATAAGAATAAACATAATAAATAAAAGTGTTAACGGTCTCGATAATATTAAACCAACTCGATATGCTTACGGAAGCACGCACATATTAATCATCAGGACAGTTCCGCTACATCGTTTTACGAGATCATTTATAAATGTCATCGTGGCGAGGAATAAAAACAAATGATGGTCATCAACATTTATTTATGTAGTCCATGTGTGAGGGAAATATCATGTCATTTTTCCAAAATAATGTTTGGGACTTGCATTCGAAAATTTTGTCGATTTAAACAAATTCGTTAACCTCATCATCATCAGTCCTCTGATGGATATAGACCGTTCTCATGGTGGTAACGTAAAAATTGTTATTATAATAGATTTACGAAAAACGTAATTTAGTTTTAAATGTAGAAATAACTTACAAATTCTTAGTAAAAACAATGAATTCGTACCCAGTTTATATGTAGCATAAACTGGGTTGGAATCTCGCAACTCACTTGTTCGGGGAATACAACCACTTAATTTAAAAATACAATTAAGGACATTAACATAATTATGCTAAGACCACATCTTTTTAAAGTAAAAAATAACCTAAATCGTTAGAATTCGGTTACTGTAAAAATAACATCATTAACGACAGGCTGTTTCATCATTGATAAGTAAATATTTCTTTTATAGAGAGACAACGGTGGCGCAGTCGTCCAGAACAACACCCTAATTGGCATATCATCTTTCATCAACCACTGTGCCTTGTACTCCAAGACTCACGCCTTCCCAAAAGTTTCCAGCTTCGTCCGATGGTTAGACTCCATCATATGGGACGAGAACATAAGGCCATCTAGCACTGAACCTCCTACTACTACATCACCCGTCAGACCCCCAGAAAATGGCACCAGAGGACCGTTTAACCAACCGTACTATGCTGATCCTGGAAAATTCATGCTGACACTTCCATTCGATCCCATAAACGTGCCCTTAGAACCAGCATTAGAAGATAACTCAGTGTTACCGGGAATGAGTCTGTACGAGTCCTACCTACAGAGTATAGCGCGAGCCAAGACCTCCACCCCTAAGACCACGACGATACCTGAACCGAAAACAGAAGCCAACCAAAAAAACAAACCCATGAATAACAATAATATGGATCCAATGATGATTCCGCAACTTATGTACCGAAATGGGCCAAAGAAATACGACCGGTACGATTACGAATAGTTTCTAGTGCTAATAATAATAGAGTACATATTAAATAGTATTATACTACAGTTTCTCATTTTTTTTCTTTTTTGTAGACTCTGGTTTGGATGAGTGAATGGATCACTGTGAAGTACAAGATGTTGATTGATCTGCATTCTCCATATTTCCCGAGGAAACCATACTGCTGATATGATTGAGATTGTTTGTAACGTTTTATAGTGATTTAGTGTGATCTGTGCGAATGAATGTGTTATGTAAATATTTAATTGTAACGTTAATAATAAAAGCCTTTTTATCCTTCAGCCTTCTGTAACTAACTATGAAAATTTAATTACTTTGTCATAACTTGCTGCTCATCGGCAGTGAATAAAACACCTTTACTTAACTAATGGTGCCCTAGTACCTAAAAAGTGGCTTATGAAAGTTGAGTATGAGCGACCTGAGTTGACTGATAATTTATGGAGATGTGAATCCGCAATACTTAATAATTTTAGTTTTTCATTAAGCAGGGCAAAGGTCCAGCTATAAAAATAATTGTCTGTTCTTACTGAAACGGTGATCTGTCGAAACTAAAACCAGGGCTTCAAGGTCAAATAAATACACACTTTAATTTAGGTATGGAATCTGAAGACAAAAGATAAATATTTAATTTTAAGGCTACAAACCAATGGAACAAGTGATGGTCCAAACCAGCGCATCAAGTTATCTACCTTGGAGGAAAGAGTAATAGCAAAGTCATCGGTTGATCAAGATGGAATACGAGAGCAAAATCTGGTAAAATCCTTAAAGGGGTATTCTATGGAAGGTAGGAAAATTCGTCTCAAATGTATACTTAAGTATGATTATAATTGTAACTTTACATCCAATTGACTTGTCACGCACATGGAATGCCCCTGACTGTAGAGTTATTTTATACACACAGTTTTATAATTCATTCTTAAAATATTTACCTATCACTAATGGTTTTCAAGGTTGAAAGCCCAACGGGACCTAGCAAAGTCGAAGAAAATGTATCCAAGGACCACAAGAGCCAAAATGGTTAGTAGCATGACAGTTACCTAAATAGTTATCTTCTTGAAACACTTTATAATATCTCATACTTACTCCTTTACAGCAGATGCAATATCAGTGTCAACACTACTCCCTCCGTCATCAACATCACTAGCGTATCTACTACCACCGGTCTCACCGCAAAATAGCAGATGGCCACAATCATCCACTCCAGACTCGATATCATCTCTTAACAAATTCTTAAGAGCTCACAAAAACCAAGGTTTGACTCCTTTAGAAAGGGCAGCAGAACATCTATTTGAAGCTATCGAATTGAGGCGACTGGAACAGAAAAAGAAACCGGTCAAACGTCTTCCCGAAAAAGAGATTGAGCTACCTCTAGACCTTGAGAGGTTAAGACTCGAAGCCAAAAGGCTACTAATAGAATCTGCGAGACTAAAACTGGAGGCTGATATGATAAAGGTTGCTCGCCAACATACTGTGCTGTTACAGCAATTAATACTTCTTGGACAACGACTCATCGACACAATAAAGGAGCAGCGACCAGGCAGCAGTGTACCTTTTATTGAAACTATTTAAGTAATCTAGTGTATGAGATAGTGGTCAAACGTCGGCCCATGAAATATTTAAAAAAATCTGATTTTATAGTTCGTTTCCTGAAAGAGAACTGAGAGATACATTGTTTTAGTCACTAGTTTTGTTTTCGTTGACATTTTTAGGTTTTATTGTATGTTTTTAAATACCAGACCACCTAATAAACGTATTTTCTGTTATAAGTAACATTAAACTTCTTATTATTTATGTTATGAGGTCCATTCAAAGTTTCCCCTTACTAATTACGATTTTAATGACGTTTTCTCGTAAAAGTCGAGCAATAAGGTGTCAATTGGCATACCGTTAATGCTTGCTGCCCATCGTTGAAAACTACAATGTACAAAACACCTTTATACCTAACATGGGGTCCTGGTACCTGCACCAGATGTAACATCATGCTTCGATAGACAGTTCTCATGGGAGCGTGTCCATTTCCACATATTTCTGGCTCTGGATCAATATTTAATATCGCAGATGTTTTATTTATGTTTGCTTCTAGGTGTCCCAGGTGTATTTAGCTCGCGTTAATATCAAGACATAACGAGCTAGCTTTGCTTGCCAAAACTGTCATTTTAGGTAGTCTATTCTGGGGAAAATGATTGTAGTTAGTCATTTTGTACTGCGCAACTTGGTTTATTTATGAATGTTTTGACAGTGAAGGTAAGAAAAGTTTTGTTGATATAACTTATAATGATAAGAGCTACGCTCAAGTTTTCTACTATAATAAATAGACGGAAAAAAATTAGGTTATTTTGAACGCAATAAACTTTCGACATACCTTCGTCTACATACGTAGTAACAACATAATTATTAACTCTTACATTTTATGATTGCCTGGTGCTTGTCCAACGAAAACATGTAGTTTACATTCCATCCACGATTGGACATCTATTATCTATCTTACTAACCCTCGGAACTGCCTACTCAAGGTATTTTAAGTAAAGTAGCAACCCTACATGATTTAAAACAAAAGGCCTATAATATATTTACCAATGGTATCTATTTAAAAAATTATTCTGTCACCACCCACAGCTTACAAAACAAACTTTTGTTAACGACATGAAAGTCACAAAACAATGGCCTTTATTGACAACAAACAAATAACTTTTGTTAATCAATTATATTCGATATCGAAGGTCAAACAAGGAGCCATTATAGAGAAATTTGTCATAAACTATTAAAGAGTCGATAAAAAAGGAAATACCTAATATGAATAATACTGGAAAGTGCTTAGAAAATCAATACATTTGTGGAGGTCAAATGTACGCTTCATTATTTTCGTAGATTATTATGAAAAGTTATGAAAATGTGTTGTTATATTGTGTCTAGACATTTTCATGTGGTAGTTTTAAAACTGTAAATGGAAATAGAGAAAAACTGCGACGGACTTAATTAGACTGGGGTATAATGTTTTAAACAAGACCAGAAAATTAAAACATAATACAAGTTTGTATAACTATAAAAAGAATGATACGACTCATCGTTTTCCTTTTGCTTCGGTGAGAAGAAGGAAAGATGGATTAATATCCACTATTTTAGTCCCTCCTCCCTTGAACTCTCCATCATTGCTACAAATTATCGACCCTACGAAACAACACTAACTTTAATATCTGTTAAATACGAGCTATATTTTAATTGACAAACATAAGCGTTGGGCACACAGCGTTTGGACCGCGGCCAATTGAGCATTCGAGCGTTATACTAAATGTTAATGAGCTTACCATTATCTCTATATACCTAGTAATTGTATGCTGCCCTGGTATACCAACAACAGATACGGGTCCGCATTGAGGATTAAATAATATAGTTATTTTGAGCTAAGTAATACTTAAAATTATGGAACACATTTTATAGTGATAACTATTTTTATATTTTATATTTTATGGTATTTTTTTCATATGAAGAATCGATACAGTGGGTCAAAACTTATTTAGTCATTTCACATATATTTTTTTGCTTTAATAAGCTTAACTTTTATGTAGTATAGTGCAATTTTGTCAATTATGTTATCAGACTCTTTGCATTGATTTGTTCTAACCGGAATTCCGAAATTTAATAACTCATACTAGTATTTTGTGAAACATTGAAAGGGCCTTTTTATGCCAGCAAAACTGCGAGAAAGCCGGCTACCCGAATGTATTTCTGCGTCATTTAGTTCAACAAACCAATTGGTAAATATAAATGTTTTCCACGTAAACCGTTTTCACTAAAACAACATGATTCATGCGGCCATGTTGCCATAACAAGCCCGGCTGTTTATTTAATATTACAGGCTAACCAAAAGGTCAAAATACATCCACAAACATATTTACTTTATTAGCAGAAGCTATCAATTATTCACGAATCGGCTCAGTAATGGATATATTAATATAAAGATCTACGTTTGAACTCAGCCAGGTCCACGAATTGGGTTAATGTTTAGCTCTAGTAATTATTCATTTGTAGTTTACTCTTTTTTCTTTATGCTTGCCTGGTAGGCACACCTTGAAAAACAAAATAAATATGTTTATGAAAGTATCAAAAAAAATCTGGTGGTGCATCTCACCAGCATTGTGTCTTATTTGATTTTTCGAAAATTCTTAGTAATAAACACACAGTGTACATCCGCCTACCCTTTTCGAGATTAAAAGACATGATGTTATGTCACGAAATGTGATTTCAGTACAGGAAACAGGCAAGAGAGGCTTGATATTTAATATCTGCAACGGGGAACGGATATCACTCCCGCTACCAAACACTATTGCTACATCAAGTTTAATTAAAATCCGTCGAATAAACATGTATTTAATTTTAGGTTGCTTATGTTCATGTAGTAGTTTCAACACATACTTAGGAATTTGTGTAAATGTCGTAGGATAATTTGATACTTCGAATCTTCGCGGAAATCCTAGGGGTTTTGCGAAAACGCGGATAATTAGACATAGGCGAAAAATTATCAAATCTTACTGGACAAAGTCAGGATTTTTGCGAAAATACTCGTTACTATAGTAAGATTTGATGTGCTCAACACTGATTGGCTACAATTTTGCTGGCTGACTTCTAATTGGTTCCTAGTTTGCCGATGATTAACTTCAAGTATTGTATCATACAGATATGAAGGTTTAGAATAGGTGAGAAGGGAAAATCACTAAATTGATTTTTATAAACTTTTTATTGAAAATTTTAGTATGTATGTTGTTTTCTACAGACAATAGGAGATCTCAGTCGTAGTGAAAAAAATTATCCAATTTTAGGGTGTAATCCATAAATTGGATGAAACTGGTCGTTTAAGACGACGAAAAATCATTTAAGACGTCAACCAATCAGAGACGATCTCTTATTGATCGCGCTGACCGACCAATCAGCGTTCTTATTTCATAACAGCCAGCGTTTCGTTTCGCAATCTTACTATAATAATGAGTATTTTCGCAAAAATCCTGACTTTGTCCAGTAAGATTTGATCATTTTTCGGCTATGTCTAATTATCCGCGTTTTCGCAAAACCCCTAGGATTTCCGCGAAGATTCG